TGGGGGGGGGGGGGGGGGGGGCCGAGAGACGGACCCAGGAGAACCAAGGTCATTCCTTTCATCTTTCCTTCATCATACGCTCAGGAGCAGGTACTGTACACCAGGCACTATGCTGGGTATTGGAGTGAGGAAACGTAAAAATGAACAGGACAGCGCCCTGCCCTGGAGGAGCTGCGGTGGGGCTGGAGAGGACAACTGTGTATCAACAAGAACAGGCTGATCTTGCTCTGAGGTGTCCCCCAAGTGAACAGAACACAGAGAAGTCTGAACCAGCAACTTAAAAACAAAACAAACAGGAAAATTTCTTTATATAAATATAGAAAGAGATAATTGAATATATTAATCATGTATATGGGTCAAATTAGAAATTGTTTTGTAATGTGATTTTCTCCCCTATCAATAAATACTTGGGCTGGCCAGTTAGCTCAGTTGGTTAAGTGTGGTGCTGGTCCAGGGTTTGATCCCTGTAATGCCCAGCCACCAAAAAAAAAATATTTGACATCTTTCCATCTCCACACCAAGATTTACCTTACCCTAAACAGCTATATAGTATGAATATGAATGTACCATAATTTATTTAATGCCTTACATTAAACACTGAGGTTGTTTCCAATTTCTTATTATGAACCCTATCCTATCATTACAGTCAATTCTTTATAAGTAAAATTTCTGGGTCAGCATATGTAGTTTCAATTTGGATGGTTATACCAAATTACCCTCCAAAAAGACCACCTTTGATTTCTATTGTCACCAGCACTGAGCACCTGCTTCCCACAGCACTCAAGCATCAAACAGTTGTGCATCAAGTAGGCCCAAGCCCCCCAGGCCAGCTACAGGGAAAGGCCACAGCTGCATCTATGTCTATGAGACCTGGGAGGCCCAGCACAGATGGACAGGGCCTGCCCAGTTGGCTCCTTACTCCTCTGATCTTCCTTCTACACAGCCCTGGGCCCCTGGCCTTGAAAATCGCTGGGCGAATTGCAGAATTCTTCCCTGATGCAGTACTTATTATGGTGAGGCTTGGGTTTTTGGGTGGATATGTGGAGAGAAAATAGGGAGGAGGATCCTTGAAACTCTCACCTGCCCTTCTTTGTCCACTCAGTTGGATAATCAGAAACTGGTGCCTCAGCCTCGTGTGCCCCCAGTCATCGTCCTGGAGAACCAAGGTCTCCGTTGGGTGCCCAAGGACAAGAACTTGTGAGTGCCCTACCCCCTCTGCCTCTTCTTGTAAGCCCAAGGCTCCTGGGCCTCCTCTGTCCTTGGTCTTGTCCCAAGGGTCTTTCTCTGGACCCAACCTGTTAAGTCTGTGTCTGGCTCTACTGCCCACTGAGTTTGACCTTCATGGCGGTTACTATTTCAGAGTGATGTGGAGGGACTGGGAAGAGTCACGGCAGATGGTGGGAGCACTACTGGAGGGCCGGGCTTACCAGCACCTTGTGGACTTTGACTGCCACCTTGATGACATCCAGCAGGACTGGACCAACCAGCAGCTCAACACCCAAATCGCCCAGTGGGTTGGTCCCACCAATGGAAATGCCTGAGGCAGGAGACTCAGGATCCAATAAAGAGACTTGGGCTGATGGGTAACAGTATGACTACATTTATTGTGCCCAAGAGGCAAGGTGACAGAGAAACCTCAACAGGAGGAAGGCAGGGGAGAGTCTGGAGTCCCCAGTAAAAAGCAGGAAGGCCTCTGCTGTACCCATCACAGAATGAGAGAGGAGGCTCTCAATAGATCATTCCCTTTGTTTCTCCCCTGGGCTTCTTGAGCTTCTCAAAGTTCTTCAGGATGATGTCATATAACACAGCCTACAGGGCCAGGGAGGAGTGACGGTCAGCCGCAGGCCCCCAGTGGCTCTGTGCCCCATTTCTAGTCTTGTGGAGAAGCCGAGGTTTACCCCCATCCTGCAGGGTCAAGGAATGGGTGGCCTGGGAAAGCTGCCTCTGCCCACCCCTGCCCTGCCCTCGCCTCCTCACATAAGCATTGCGGATCTCCATAACCATCAGCCGGATGTCCCGGTACTCTGCCTCATCCAGCTCATGCACCAGTTGCCGATAATCACCCTGCAGGAAACTCAGTGGTCAGGCCTGACTTCAAATGTGTCCTTCCCCATGCACCCTGACCTGGGCCACACCTACCACATGGGGCTGCTTGGCTGCTTTCGTCACTGCATCACCACGCTCAGAGAAATACCTGTGGGAAGAAGTGTATATGGAGTGGAAGGAGGGGGCCCAGTCCTCTGTCCCAAAGCAAAGACAGAGTGTGCATGTGGGTGTGGTGGGCTGTCACTCACTTAGAGATTTGGGTGTGGAAGCCTTCCAGCTTGGTGTGAAGGCTGGTCATTAGCTCAAACACCTTCTCCTGGGGAAAGAAGGCAAGGGGGAAAGTGGAAGGAAGCATGGACTAGAAAGGAAGACAGGGGAATGGGGAAGTGCTCTCACCTGGACAGCCACTCCAAAATTGTTCCCATCCTCAATCCGAGGTATCTGCAGCTGCAACCAGGTGGTGACCTGGGAGGAAGGAATGGCATCAAAGCCACATCAGCCCCTCACCCAATTCCCAGGTTCCTAACCTCACTTGCTTGTTTGCCCAAGCTGGGTGGAGGTGTGCCAGGTCCATCCTGAGCCCCAGGGCCTCAACTTCTGTCTTCACTTACTGTGTCTTCTCCTGTTTAGACCTGGCAAGTGCCATGCTCTAACTGGCAGGGACCAAGAGGACAAAGGGTTTGACCTGAAGCCTGGGGGTAAAAGAGGGAGGGCCCACCAGGTTGAGTTGCTCAATGACATCCTTGATCTCAGGCTTCAGGCGCTGCAGGAGGACCACGATCTTCTCGTTGCAATTCACTGGGCCACAGGGAGGACCTAGAGAGTGGGCAATGGGTTAGTTACATGACAGCCTGTGTGAGGGATGGTGAGAGGGAGAGTGGAAAAAAAAATCCTTAGGGAGGAGCTCCTGCAGGGTGAGACTCAAGTCTCTTCTGACTCTAGTGGTTCCAAATACCTTTGTCTTCATCTTCCCCTTTCTTCTTTTCATCCTTGTCTTCCTTCTGCAGGGAGATAGGGGCTCATGGGTGTCAGGACTAAGGTTGAATTTCCCCATGGTTGGGTCCCTCCTCCCAGGTCTTCCAGCTTGCCTCCTGCTGTTTCTTTCGCTCCTCCTTCTCTTTCTCCTTGACTGGATCAGGCACTGGGATGTCCAAGGGGGCCTTCAGATTGCTCAAGTTGGCTTCATTGAGAGCTGGCTCCTGGTGTAGGGTGGGAGGAGGGCTGGAGGCGAGGGTGTTCCTCTCATCTCCTTCCTTGCTCTCATTGCCCCTAGACTCGTTCTCTTGGCCCCTACTCTGTAGCTCCCTGCCCAGCCCCAGTACCTTTAAAAAGGTATCCAACTCCGAAATCTTCTTGGGGAAATAGCTCCCAAGCAGGTTCTCTGTCTGTGTGTGAGGCAATGGTCGGGGAACATGGGGGTCAGAATCTGTCCTTCCCAGGCAGTGAATTCTGCCCAGCAAGGGAGGGCTGAGCAGTAAGAGCTGGGTGTGGGTGCTCATGGGGCAGGTCTTACCTTGGTACACAGGTCTTCACGAAACACATCCACCTGTGGGGCAAAGGCAGTTCATTTTAGGACAGTTCCCTTAGAACTGTAGAGCCTGACCTGGGGAAAGGTGGAGTGGATCCCTCTAAGGCCAGACCTGAAGAAGACATAACTGATCCCTGTGAGGGTAGATCTGGGTAAGGTGGGGTAGATCCCTATGGGGCTGGGAAGCATGGAATGGATCCCTGTAGGCCTAGATTTGGCGGATGAGAACATTCCTGGCGCTGAAGGGCGAGTAGTTCATGTGAGAACGGATCCCTGAGGTCGCCTGGGCTGTATGAGGAAAGGCGTAAGAGCGCCCTCTGCGAGTGGGGCAGGAACGGCGTGCCCTGTGGAGTGGGCTCGGGCCCTCCCTGAGGGAAAGGCCATGAGGTAGCAAGGCAGGTCCCGCACCCCATCTGTGTGTGGCCCCGGGCCAGCGGACTTCCCCTCCACGCTAGCTCTCCGCTTCACCTCGCCCCGCTGAACCACGGCCGCCTCGCCTCTCCCGGCAGGAAGACCTCGCCGGTCTTCCAGGGGCTCAGGTGCACCTGGCACGTAGGCTCGGTTGACCGACCCCGACTCGTGTGGGGGTTGGGGGGCGGGTCCGGGATGCCCGCAGCCTCTCGGAGCCACGCCTCCCTACCGGGCCCTTCCTTGGACCCACAGCGCTCACCTTGGCTTGGGCTTCAGGCTGGACCCTGAGCGTGGCCATGGCCGGGGCGTGGGGCCGAGCGCTGCACGAGAACCGATGAGTGGGCACGGGGAAGGGAAAGCGAAAGCAGCGATCGCCGCCCGCACGGCCTTCCTGGGGAGTGAGGAGTGGAGAACTGGAGGAGGCGGGGACAGACCCGAGAGCGGAGAGGGGCGGAGCTGCGGGGAAGGCAGCCAAGGCGGGGCTCCCCCGAGAGTCCCCGAAGAGCGCGCGCGCCCACCCACCTCCTCCCCTCCCCGTCCCCCCGCCCCTTGTCTTCCTGCTTCCTCGTCTCTGCCTGACTCTCGACTCCCCGCCTACTGCCTCGCCCGCCCAGCCTCCCCACCCGTTCGCCCCGTCTCTGCTCCCGCTCCCCGCCGCCAGACCCCCGGCCGGTGCCGTCTTTCCTCGCCCCACCTTCCACCTCCCGCTTCCTATCTCCCTGTTGCCCGACTCCCCAGCTCCTGACTCCACACCGGCCCTATCCTTCTTCCGCTCCGCCTGGGACAGTGATAAGCCTTACCTGGGGCTCTTCCATCTTTTCTCGGAGATGGAACAAGACCTGGCCTCTCCTCCCTAGCCTTGCCAGCGCCGGCCCCTGGCTCCACGGGCATCCTCTGGCCCATGCGGCGACACTCAGACACTCCACCATCCCTATCCAAGTCTCAATCAACTCCCTCCTGCATCTATTACCCACTCTCACAGAGCAGCGGGTTTAGGCCTCTCTCTTGTTTAAACCCTCTCTCAGCTTCCTGTTGAATGAAATCTAAAGAGCTTTCCCTTCACGGCCTGACTGGATCTGTCTCCCCTTCAAATTCACTTTCTATGCTTTCCCCCTCCTTCATTACACTTGCAATTGCTTGGGCTTTCCATTTGTTTCTTTTTCTTTTTTTAAAAAAGATGACCGGTAAGGGGATCTTAACCCTTGACTTGGTGTTGTCAGCACCACGCTCAGCCAGTGAGCGAACCGGCCATCACCTATATGGGATCCGAACCCGTGGCCTTGGTGTTATCAGCACCGCACTCTCCCGAGTGAGCCACGTGAGCCACAGGCCGGCCCTTTCCATTTGTTTCTCAAACGTGCCCTGTTCATTCCTGCCTCAGTCTTGCCCTCACTAACCCCTTTGCCTGAAACCCTTTCCCTGGGTGTTGTCATTCAGTTCTCAGCTCAAATGTCACTTCGGAGAGATCTTTCTCCATCATCCTTTATAAGGAACCTCCCTTCAAGTCTCTCTATTACAAATCAGCCTATTTTAGTACCCTCATAGCACTTATCTCTCTGATATTAGCCAGTTTATTTTTGAGACAGAATAATGTAGTGGTTTAAACCAGGGCTTGGCAAACATTTTCTGTAAAAGGCCAGATAGTAAATATTTTAGGCTTTGTGGGCCTTACAGTGTCTGTAGCAACTACTCAATTCTGCCATTGTAGCAGGAGAGCAGCCATATGTAAATGAATTCGTGCAGCTGGGTTGCAATAAAACTTCATTTATCAACACTAGAAATTGAAATTCATGTAATTTTCATGTGTCATGAAATATTATTATTATTCAATTTTTTCCAGCCATTTAAAAATGTAAAAAAAGGGCCGGCCTGTGGCTCACTCGGTAGAGTGCGGTGCTGATAACACCAAGGCCACGGGTTCGGATCCCATATAGGTGATGGCCGGTTCGCTCACTGGCTGAGCGTGGTGCTGACAACACCAAGTCAAACATTTTCTGTAAAAGGCCAGATAGTAAATATTTTAGGCTTTGTGGGCCTTACAGTGTCTGTAGCAACTACTCAATTCTGCCATTGTAGCAGGAGAGCAGCCATATGTAAATGAATTCGTGCAGCTGGGTTGCAATAAAACTTCATTTATCAACACTAGAAATTGAAATTCATGTAATTTTCATGTGTCATGAAATATTATTATTATTCAATTTTTTCCAGCCATTTAAAAATGTAAAAAAAGGGCCGGCCTGTGGCTCACTCGGTAGAGTGCGGTGCTGATAACACCAAGGCCACGGGTTCGGATCCCATATAGGGATGGCCGGTTGGCTCACTGGCTGAGCCTGGTGCTGACAACACCAAGTCAAGGGTTGAGATCCCCTTACCGGTCATCTTTTAAAAAATAATAATAATAATAATAATAATAAAAATTTTAAAAAATGTAAAAAAAAGCTGTTCTTAGCTCACAGGCCATACTAAAACTGGCCACAGGAGGGCCATAGTTTGCTAATCTCTGGTTTAGAGCACAGATAATGCACCTGATATTGCCTGGGTTTATCATCCTGGCTCCTCTATTAGCTGTGAACAAGTTACTTAACCTCTGTGCTTCAGTTTTCGCAGCTGTACAATGGGAACACTACTAAACCTACCTCACAGTGTGGTTGTGAAAACTAAAGGTGTTAATTTATATTTAAAAAAACCTTATAGACACTTAGAACAGCGACTGGCACAGAGTAAGCATAGTGTGTTTTCTATTATTTGTGTGTTTATCATCTGCCTCCCCCAGTTAGCTCATGAAACCCTAAACATCAGAAACCTCGTTTGTGTTATTCACATGCCATGGATCTATGCTTGGCTCAGTAAACATTTGTTAAATAAAGGGACACACACAGATCACTTATGGGGAGATAGGGTAGGAAGTGTCCCCAGAATGGGTGCCCAGATAGGCAGGCCCCTGAGGAAGGCAGAGGGGAGATTCAGTGGAAAGGGTGGGAAAAACAAATTGACCAGGTTCGAGTTGGAGCACCCACCCAGTACAAGGATGCCCACACCTAAGGGCACTTTCTCCTGCCTTAGCAGTGCCATTCCTTGGTATCACAGCCCCAGATAGCTGGAAGTCTACAAATACTAGGAGGCTGAAAGGATAACAGGAGGGATGGCGGTCAACCATAAGGAAGGACATTCAAGGGTGATGACAGCAAGGAATGGCTCAGGAACCCCAGTGACTACCAGACCCTTTTCTTACCCTTCCTCCCTTTCCAGGCCCCAGCCAAATGATGCGAGGAGCCAGAGCCAGGCCTGATGTGCTTTTATTTCTTTCAGGTGTGCTTGCGGCTAGAGTGGGGGTGGGGGAAGAGCCCATGGCCCGGGCTCCCTGGAGACCAGGGCTGATGATACCAGCTGCCATAGGTGAGGTACCAGGCAAAGGTGCCTACTGCGGCGCCCACCACCTTGTGAGTGTACTGGTGGAAATAGATGACGGTACAGAGCAGCAAGAAGTTCCAGAGGCCCAGCAACAACACATTGAGCAGGAAGACAAGGCGCAGGGGGGCGCTGGCGGGCAGCCCATGGGCCAGGTACTTGGCGAACACTGCTGCTTCCTCAGCCATGAGCAGGCAGCAGAAGGTGAGCAGGAAGGTGTGGGAGGAGACAGTGTAGCCCCGCCACTGGTGGCCAGCTGCGAGGCAGCTGCGACGGTCAGGCAGCTCGTGGAGCAGCAGGCCCTGGGGCAGAGGCTCGAAGCAGGAGCCAGTCAAATCCTCAATCAGCAGGAAGGCCCGGCCAGCCCCCCGCCACACGGCTGCCCCCACCACCAGTCGGCTCAGGTGCCTGGCGGTCACTGCTATGCGCCGTGTAGCCAGGAACACCACCAGCAACACAAAGCCCCCCAGGAAGGTGCATGTCCAGCCCCAGGCTGAATTCACAAACTTTCTGTGGGCAGAGAAGAGGGGAGGCTACTGAGATCCTCAGCCCCATCTCCCCACCCTGGTCTGTGTTCCCATCACTGCTCTGTCCACAAACCCACAGACCATCACTGCTTCTCTCTTTCCCGCACCCTTTACAACTTCCCAACCGTTTAAACTTTGCCTTCTCCTTAGAGCACCATTCAGCATTCTAGGATCCACATTTCCTCTTCAGTCCTGCTCCCAGCGCCCCCACGGGTTCTCCTCCCCTCCCCCTCCAACCTTCTCAACCTCTTAGACTATTTTTAGTGTTCAGACTGGCAGGAGGACAGAAGCCCGGAGAGGGGAATTGGGATCCCAGAACGCCGGCACCCACAGCCTTGAGTGGACTCACATGTTGAAGAAATTGCCGTGGCTGGCGAAAATAGTCCGAGGGTTGACATGGAACTGCAGAAGGGGCCCAAAGATGACCACTGCTGCCAACCAAGCATGGTAGAGGCGCCGTAAGCAGGGGCTACCCAGGAGGCGGGCGGCCTGTTCACTTCCAAAGTACAGCAAAGCAGAGGCCACCCAAAGCAGCACCTTAACCAGGCAGCCCAGCAGTGCCTGGATTCGGGCCCCAGCCCCCTGCCCTGCCCCCTGCCCTGCCCCCAACACTGGTCCTCGCTCCATGTTCCCTCCCCTCCCCACTAACTGCTTGCTCCGCAGGGCAGCCGTGGAGGGGCTGATGGGCGCCCCCCCAGACAAGGACAGGCAGTGACAGGTGTAGCAGACACAGGGCAGAGCCCTGTTGGCAGCTGGCAGGCGGGGGAGGGGGCGGGGGGCAGTACGGGGCCAGGGTGGAGGGCTGCCACGTCAGCAGGGTCCTGACCTCGGGTGTGTAGTGTGTGTTCTGACAGCAGCATATGTCCTTTCCTGTTAGCCCCGTGTCTTCAGCTCCCACAATGTTCTAGTTCATGTATCAGAGCCAGGGCTGAACTGTCCACAGCCTGCTTGGGTCTGCCTGTCTTTGGTGGGCCCAAAACCCCCTCCCAACCCCAACTTTACCATGCATTTGCTCCACAGGGAAATTAGGGGTCAGGAAGATAAAACTAAACAAATCTTGGAAGTCATTAAAAAAAAAATCTGTCTGTATTGTCATCGCTGTGGTCAGGCCCTTCTGGGGTTCTGAGCATGAGCCCACCACTGCAGGATGCAGCAAGGCGGTTGTGCACAGCACTATATCCACCTCCAGCCTCAGGAGGCATATCAGTAGGGGTGTCCACTTCAGTGAACTGTGACCCCAGTGGTTTGGTGCTGCCCCAGCTCCTGTCTGGACTGAGGGGCTCTAAGGGGCTAGTTTGGCCAAGGGCTGCTATGTAAACTGGTGGTTGTGCAGTGCACAGGGTATCACATCTAATGGGGCACCATTACATTTGTATGTCTATTATGGTGACCGACAGATGAAGTCCAAGCATCCTGAGGAAGGTGCCTGCATCCTGTTTGAGATGGTAGTGGCCCAGACTTGACCCTCAGAGCCCTAAGATCAGGTTTACTCCTAGGTGACAGGGAGAAAAGGAGACCCCAGAAGGAAAATCCCCTGTCTGGAGTCCATCAAAACCTTAGGTCCTGTCCTCCAACCAATTACTCTGGGCCTCAGGTTGCCCCACACAAGCCCTGGTCCCCAAGCCTGACCACTGGGGCTGAAGTGGCAGAGTAGAGTGCAGCCTTCCCAAGGAGAAGCCGGTATTATTCAGTAACCATTTCGAGATCACTTTTTGTCTTCCTTCCTCATTCCTCAAAGCTGGTGGTGGGATTTCACAGCACAGTGGAAGTAGTGAAAGAATGAACAAGCAAAGACATCTGGGTTCTAAGCTCAACTGTGTGATTTTAGGAAAATCAACTAACCCTCCTTGGTGCTCAGTGCCTTCATCTGTAAATTGATCAAGACAGAGTAGATAATCAATCAGGTTCCTTCCAGATCCTAAAGCCCATACCTTGGCATAGTGGCCTTCGAGTCTTCCTGCTCATGGACCCTATAAAAGAATTTTGAAGACCTACAGACGCTCTCACACATGTTTTTTTATGGCTGGGTGGGGGCAGCTGGATGGTATGGCGGACCCAAACCCATGACCTTGGTGTTATAACACCATGCTCTAACCATCTGAGCTAACCAGCTAGCCCTCCTCACACATTTTCAAGTTGACAAAATTTTTCATCATAATTTTAAATAGTTGCAAAGAAATCATTTCCAGTGTATTATATATACTGCAGTCAGCCCTCCATACCCACAGTTCTGCATCTACAGATTCAACAAACCATGGGTCAAAAACATTTAGGGGGAAAAAAAGGTAACAATAAATAATACAATTTAAAAAAATACAGTATACCAACTATTTACATAGAATTTACATAGTATTAGGTATTATAAGTAATCTAAAGATGACTTAAAGTATACAGGAAGGTTCGGATCCACATTCCAGCCAACTGCCCAAAATAAAAAAAGAAGTATGGGGGCCGGCCTGTGGCTCACTCGGTAGAGTGCGGTGCTGATAACACCAAGGCCACGGGTTCGGATCCCATATAGGGATGGCCGGTTTGCTCACTGGGTGAGTTTGGTGCTGACAACACCAAGTCAAGGGTTAAGATCCCCTTACCGGTCATCTTTAAAAAAAAAAAAAAAAAATTTATTGTAGTAAAATATACATAACATAAAATTTGCCACTTTAACCATTTTTAGGTGTACAATTAAGTGGTGTTAACTACATTCACAGTGCTGTGTAACAATCACCTCTATTTTCAGAAAGTTTTCATTATCCCAAACAGAAACTCTATATCTACTAAACAGTAGATTAAACACCCTGTTTCCCTCTTCCCCAGCCTCTGGTAACCTCTGTTTTACTTTCTGTTTCTATGCATTTGCCTATCCTAGGTACCTCATAAAAGTGGAATCACAGAGTATTTTGTATGTTGTGCCTTCCTTATTTCACTTAACATGGCAGGAGGATGTGCATAGGTTATATGCAGAAACTACACCATTTTATATCGGGGACTTAAGCATTTGTGAGTTTTAATATCAGCAGGGGGTCTTGGAACCAATCCCCCTGTGGATACCAAGGATGACTGTATTTTAAAGGAAAGCTATTATATCAGTCTTTCAAATATATCCAATGAAATCTAAATACTACAGTGATTAGGTAGCTCACCATTATTCACTTAAAAAACATGTAACAAAATTTTAAGTTGGAAATCAGATTTCCATTCTATTTCCCCTGCAGAATTTATCCTAATATTGTATGCTTAAAAGTCTTTTCTTGACCATTTATCACACTCCTCTGCAAACAAAGTACATAATTTAAAAAATTTCCTGTGACCATAAAGCCCTGAGACTTAAAATATTTTTCTTTTGGACGGAATTTTCATTATAATTGTTAGAACTACAAACTATATTATTAGTAAAACAAACATTTTACACATTTTGATAACAACATAAAATTATACTGGAAATGCATTTCTTACCAAGCAGAATGGATGGTCTGTGGGGCCTTGATCAAATGGGGCTTTAAGGATACTAACAATTTTAATTTGTCATGCTGAAGCAATAAAGGTTCTGGGTGAGATGGTAGCATCTCTAGAGTGAAATAGCAGAGGGGGACTGAAAAGGGAAGGTGGGAAAGATGTGGCATGGTAGCTTCACACTAGGCAGATCAATTTGAGGAAAAAGAATATATGGAGGCTCAGGATCTGGACAGTTCATTCTTTTAAAATTATTTCACTGTGAAATACCCCTTGTTGTGAAAATCTGTAAGCACCCTGGAGGTGTGTACCCTGGTTTGAAAATTGCATTAAAGAGCATGAAATGTTGTGGGGAAAGACCTAGTTAGAGCTGAGTGTGACCATGGGTTTGCTCTGGGGCAGGAGGTTCTGAGTGTGAAGAACCCAGATGGGGCCTGGCATCAGTGCCACCAGGTTCTTCCTGGCTCTGCATTCATGGGCTACCTCTCCTGAAGACTGAACCAGCTCCAGGGCCCTCCCCAGAGCACAGTTGATGTGGCTACTCCTGGGCTACTCCTGTGCTCCTCCCACAGAGGAGCATACCTGAAGGCTTTATTGAAACTGTTTTCTTGAAGTGAGAGGATGAAAGACCTCAGATAGGACAAAAGAGTGACAGAGAGACAGAGACAGACACTAAGTCAGGTTCCCACAGAGAGTTTATTGAGGGAGCCAAAGCTGGTGAGAGGACAGAGAAATCCTACTTCAGCCCTCTTCCTTCAAGCTTCTTGCCTCCAGCAGGATGGGACCCTCTGGGAAGGTAGGGCCTGCCCTGTGTGGGGCCACATGGAGCTTCTGGAGACTCCTGCCTCTCACACCACAGCCTGTCCTACCCCAAAGACCCAGACATAAGAGAAGACATAATCCCCACCTCAGAAGGGTGCTGAGGAAACATCCCTACCCACCCCACCCTCCCCTAAAACCTCAGGAACAAAGGCCAGGACACCTGGCCCTGTGATTGGCCAGTCTAATCCTCAATGAGAAGACCTGGGCAAGTACCTGGCTGACAAGTCCCTTCAGCCTGGCCTCAGTGTTGACTCTAGGAGCCAACACATAACACCCAAACATGATTAAAAACACTTAAGACAGTTCTCCTGCTGGCAGAGGCCACGCCCCAGATAATGGCAGTCCTGCTGGACCCTGGCCAGAGATAGGGACCCAAGGCAACTGGGTGTGAGCACATGAAGAGACCACTCTGCCCCACCCTATGAGGAGGATCTTCCAGGGCTCAGCTGGGGCCCAGAGCAGGGGCTTCTGTTTCTCCCCATCCAATGCCAGTGATTACTCCAAGCATTCCCCGGAAAGGAGAAAGGGAGGAAGCAGAGAGCTTGTAGAGAAGTTCACCGTGTATGGGGCTAGAGGTCAGACTACTGGGGTGAGGAAAAGGCTGTAGAAGGGTGGGGCACTGGACTGGGGACACTGGCACATTCCTCGGACTCCAGCATGTCATCCTGGAAGTACTCAGCCTGGCGGTACTGCCACAGACGCAGGTTCCCATCCCACTGCAGGGCAGAAGGTGGCAAGTAGTCAGGGGGTGCTGCCTCCTCTCGGGTCTAACCCCCAGACACGTGCCAGCCCCATTAACCCTTGCATCCTCACCGAACTGCTGACAATCTTCTCTTCAAAGGGGTGCCAACTGACATCACGCACACAGGCCTTGTGGTTGGTCAGCTTTCTCACAATGTGGCCGCTAAGGAGGTCGTACACTGTCCAGGAAAGGCCGGAGTGGAGAGGAGCTGCCACAGGACCTTCAAGCCACCCCTCACCTCCCCCTGAGAAGCACCACTGAATTCTCAGGCGACTTCCTGCTTTTTCATGGGAGCAAAGCCCACACTGGAGGACTGTATTACTTCTCCTCCTTTCCCCTGTTCCTTTCCCTATCTTGGGTTGAGAGTATGGTCTAGTAGAGCATGGGTATCTCTGGCCCTTAGCTAAATTTCACAGGGCCTACAGTTAAGAAAATGCAGTGGCGGGGCTGGCCCGTGGCTCACTCGGGAGAGTGTGGTGCTGATAACACCAAGGCCACGGGTTCGGATCCCATATAGGGATGGCCGGTTAGCTCACTTGGGAGAGCGTGGTGCTGACAACACCAAGCCAAGGGTTAAGATCCCCTTACCGGTCATCTTTAAAAAAAAAAAGAAAATGCAGTGGCTTTAAAGCCTTTAGCAAGATACAGAAAGCACCACAAAAGCGACCACCAGGCTGTCTGCAGGCATGTGCATCTGCTGTTCCTTGTCTGGTCAGGGTGCATCTCTCTTTTCCTCCATGGGTCTTTGAGTGCCTCCCTAGCTACAGCTCCACCTTAGGCTCCTTACATCTGCAGCTGTGCCTGTGTTTCTTTGCCTACATTCCTTCTGCTTCAGCGACTATGTCCTATACTACTTGCTGCTGTCCTTTTGCATCTTTCTTTTTGTCTCTATTCCCTCCTACCTTTCATCTGCAACATCTTTCCTTGATTGGCTAAAAAACAGAACCGACTATATTTTTGGTAATCTATTATTTATTGACTAGAATTCTATGTTCCTTTTCTTAATTTAAAATGCCAACGAATATGTTTTCTTTTACTCTGTTTAAGCCTACCATGCCCCAAGAGAATTAAATTCCACTTGTAGTCTCACTGCACTCTTTAAGGTGGCTACTAGTGGTTAGAGATGGAATGTGAGAGAAATATTTCTGTCTTTCCTGAGGCTGTCTGTTCTGACACAATCCTTACCAACCACTTTGCCAGTGGAACAGCCGCTGTAGATGAACTGCTGGCCGGTGCTATGGGTGGGGGAGAATCGGCAGCGGATGAGGGTGTGTAGCACCCCATGGCCCCGGTAGGTCATCAAGGAGCTGTCCCCTGGGAGCTTCAGCTTCCGCCAGGCTGCATAGGGATGCAGGGAGAGCAAAAGGTTAAGGAGTCTGTTTCTGGATTGTTTTGTACCACCAGTCCTTAGCAAAGATTGATGCCCAGAGACAATTTCCTTTCCACTTTTCAATTGGTGGCTCTTTCCCTACCTGATATCAGTCAGTAGTCACCAATATGGTCCTGTTGGTTGTTACAATACTGAAATACACTTGAGTTAGTTGGTTCTAAGAGACCCCCAGCCCCCCACCCTTGGAACCCCTGGCTATCCTCATGGTTCAGCAAATAAAGGGTTAATGCCTGGCAAAGGGGATTGTTGGGGAGGACTCCAGGATTCCCCAGCTACAAACAAATCCACTGTGCCCATGCCAGGCCTCACCCATGATGAAGTATTTTAACTACTACCCCTGACTCTTAACACTCCAGATCTCCAGTTCTACTTGTACTCTTACCTTTTTTGGGCACCTGCTGCCAGCGATAGTCCCAGTTTTGCTGTGTGGCAGCCTGGCGTGAGGCTTCCATGCCCTCCCTGCTGGAAAAGCGCCGGATATCCCAGAGCTTGATGGTCTGGTCTTTGGAGTTGGAGATGAGATACCGGGCATCGCCCTGAGAATCCAAAGATGGATAATGAAGCACCAGAGCTGGCGAATGTCGATGCCTGTCAGTCTAGCTCTCCTTCTCTAGTTGGAGGGGTAAGAATGCCAATCCTCTAACTTTGCTTACATCTTTCTTCACCCAGGTGAGCTCACCTTCAATGTTCTGATTCCACCCCCTGGCTAGGTTTTCCTTTCTTTGCCCAGGGTAAAGGCTGGGTCTTCAGTTCTATCCTGGATTAGACAGATTGTCTTCTACTCTACTTTTCTTGTACAGAAAGCCCTGCCCTGCTCCTTGAGGATTGGTGGGTACTGGTGGAGCTAATGCTCCCTGGCTTTAGCCCCTTCTCTAAACTCCAACTCTTGTAAACCTTGGCTAATAAAGAGTTTGTCAATCTCCCACACCAGTCTACTTGTATGCCCTCCTGGGCAACCAGAACCTTACTAGCCTGGGTGTGCAGTCCTGCCTCCCTGCACACCTTGCTGTCAATGAAGGTGATGCCATCCTGGTGCCCAGCCAGTGCTCCTACAGGCTTGGGGTCATCCTCCCGCATGGTGCGTCGATCCCACACTTTGCAGATAGCATCATCACCCCCAGAAAACAGTATTTGGGAGCTTATATCAGCAAAGGCCACTGCATTCACGTCATCCTCATGGGAGTCAATCTAGGGGAGAAGGAGGCCAGGATACTTAAGACTTCTTTCTGGGTCTTATAATAGGCCAAAGACTAGGAGGCTAAGGCTCTAAGTCTCAGGAGCAATACCTGAAGGGTACGCCGGTTCTGTTCTCGGTCAAAGACATACAGGCAGCCATCATTGGCCCTGAAAGAGAAGGGACAAGGAGAGTCCCAGAGCAAGGAATGAGAGGACCAATGCTATTAGAATCCCACTGGGAGTCCCATTGAGAGTCCCACTGAGAAGTCCTGTTGAGGGGCAAACCCTTGTCTATTCTTACACAGGAAGTGGGGGAAGAGTTAGCTGTGTATTCAAGGAGGCTTGAGACCTCCCATCTTGTGCTAGAGTGAGCAAGAGGTGAAGCGATTCATAAACCTTGACCTTGGAGGGTGCGGTCTCTATAACAGCAGACCTGATCTCTGGGAGAACTCCTATCTCATTAACTGAGGGAGACATCCCCCACAAACACTCACCCTCCTAGCACTTCTCGTCCATCTGAGGAGACCGCAATGGAGAAGACAGCAAAGCGACGCTCATCAGGCCTGAAGAGAGTGGAGAAGGACTTGGGTTAAGTGGATTTCCCTTCAGCTTTTGTTAATCTACAGAGAATATGAAGAGGATTATAAGGCACAACCTGAGGGGAAGGAGAAGTCCTGCCAATATGTGCCAGAGTGTGAATCACCTCAGTGAGAATCCAGAAACAATCCTGCAGCCATCTATTTTCCCCTGGTTGTCTTGCTGACAGGATGGGTGGTTCCTTCCCAGGAATCCATACAAGGAAACTTGCAACCAGTATACTTTTCTTTCTTCCTCTTTTTTTCTTTTGGCAGCTGGCCAGTAAGGGGATCCAAATTCTTGACCTTGGTGTTACCAGCACCATACTCTCCAAAATGAGCTAACTGGCCAGCCCCAAGTATTATTATTATTATTTTATTTATTATATATATATATATATATATATATATATTTATTTATTTTATTTTATTTTATTTTATTTTAATTTAATTTAATTTAATTTAATTTAATTTAATTTAAAGATGACCGGTAAGGGGATCTTAACCCTTGGCTTGGTGTTGTCAGCACCGCACTCTCCCAAGTGAGCCACGGGCTGGCCCTTTTATTTCTTTTTTTTGAGGCTCACCAGTTTAGGGATCCGAACCTGTGATCTTGGTGTTACAAGGCTGTGCTCTAATCAAATGAGCTAACTGACCAGCCCTCAACCAGTATACTTTTCCCCCTAAGCAGGAGTTCCAATTGAGGAGGTTTGCTCCTGGAGAGCCCTCCTTGAGAAGTTTCTCATGAGTCTGACCACAAAGGGAAACCAGTACCTTAGATCCAGGGCAGTGTGTGTGTCTCCTTCCCCGTAGATGTTGCAGATATGAACTAAGAAGAGAAACAAGAATCTTTTAGGGCTGGGGCAAGGAGAGTGGAAGTGAAGCTAGGGAATAGTTGGAACAAACGGCAAGGATGTCAGAGCACCTTGGGAGTGATTTTCCCAGGACAAAGCAAGTAGTCCCAGCTCAGAGGAGATGGAACTCTCCTTGCCCCAGCCCTAAAAGAGAGACAGAAAGTCTGATGCATACTCACTGTAATCAGACCAGCTGGAGTAGAGGAAGTGGTTCCCGTCAGGGGTGAAGGCCACATCCAGGACACTCCAGCCTACATCCCGGGCCTTGATGCTCTTGAATTTATGAAAGCGCCCATACCGGCAGTCATAGATTCGGATTGTCTGGTCTGTATAAGAAGGGATCAGGCAGCATTACAGAACACTTTCCTTGTATCCTTCCTCTCTCAGTATATTTGTGGAGTTTTCCCTTTATTATGGAAAACATGCTTTGGCTAAGCATCCCTAAGCCAGGTTCTGAGCTCCCTGGGTCTGGGGCTTTCTAGCCTCAGTCAGGAAGAGAGATCCTCATTCCAGAGAAAGACAGGAGATAGGACCAGATCTGGTACCTTGGCAAGCAGACATGAAGATCTGACCATCTTTGCTGTAGATGCCACAGAAAGCCTTCTGAGAGTAGGTATCAGTGAAGCCCAGATCATTAGGCAAGAAGCTGGAGAAGGAGAGGAAAAGTGAAGGTAAGGGGAGCTCAGGATGAGTGTCCCAATTAGCAGAATCCTAACAGAGCTGGAATGTCAATACAAGGGCACTCTTCACTTTGACTTTGTGTATAATCTCCTGTCTCTCATCCATTCTGCCATCCTCTAAATTTCCACACTTTTCCACTTTGTTTACTCTCAAAGCTTCAACCCCGTTTAACCTAACCTTAGTATTGTTTTTTGTTCCTTATTTATTTTTTTGGTGGCTGGACAGTACAGGGATCAAACCCTGGACCTTGGTGTTATCAACACCATGCTCTATCCAACTGAGCTAACCAGCTAGCCCACCTTAGCATTTTGGAGAATCTTTTAACACCTACCCCTTCAATGTTTAGGAGATAAGACCTATCTGGACCTTAGTGTCTCTCCACCAAGCCCCATACTCACTGAGACATCACTCGAGACTGTTCTCCAAGGGAGAAGCTTCCCCGGTGGCAGAGGCCCCGTTCTCTCTAAATGGAAGGGATTGGGGAATATTGCTAGCAGAAACAGAGGGCCACTTCAGTCACACCAAGCCCCCTCTTCCAAAGATACTGCTCTTGCTACAGAAATGGGCACCACGCACAGCAGTCTGTCCCACAGAACTCCGATGCAGGCTGGCTAACTCTCCAGCCCCAGCACTTGAGGCTTCCTTGGAAAGTTTACTTCCTTTTTCTCTGGGGATGTTAGAGCTTCTGGCTGCTCTGGCAGGCCTGCTGCCAGGCTGGCTGGAGGTAGAGAGGCCTACCTGGTATAACATTCGAGGAAAGCTGTACTCCTGGGCTGCCCGCCTAAGCCCCAGTCGCCCTGTGGCCAATTCCACTTGTGTCTTGATCTCATTGCATTCCAGCTCCCGGGTGTCAGGGGTTGCGTCCACTGTGAGCACCAGGAAAAGTTTCAACCTAGGTCTTCCAGCCCCAGAGGACAGTTAGTAGAACTGTGTCCAAGCCCACCCAGTGTGGCTGAATAATTTACTGGGCCTGTAAGGACTCCCTCAATTCCCTGACTTATCTCATGTTCTTCTTTCACTTTATTCTACTATTCTTCACCAAAATTTTAAAAAGGTTTTCTAATAAAAGTTTTCCAACATAAGAGTCTTCATCTACCTTTCCTCTTACCGGGCGGGTTGTAGCGATCCCCGAGACGACCATCCCAAGCACTGTCATGCTCTTCCTCTGAGTCCGAGAGGGCCTGGATGAGTTGTAAATTTGCTGCACCTCCTCCCTGCACCAACCTCACTTGGCCTCTGTGGAAAGACCCCCCCCATTATAAAGGAGGGGACCCCTTTCCCTAAACCAACCAAATTGAGTGAATGGCTATCCAGCTCTTAGATCACCTGGTACTCACTTTGAGGTTTGAGGCTTTCTAGACCTTGACTGTTATTTTCAGTTTCCTCTAAGGCATAGTAGGATACTGATTCTTACACTTAAAGCAAGAGTAGAGAACCCCAACATGCAGTGGAGGTTGACAGACCTGCTAAATTGACTTGCCAGAGAGCTAAAAAATTCTGAGATTTTTTCCTTCTGAGCCTCTGCCCAGGGAGTCCACCATAGAACACAATATTCTGAAGGGATTCCCAAGTTCATCGTCTCCTGAAGGAGCCAAAAGGAAAGACACAAAGCCAGCAGCACCCTTTTCCAGTCAATTCCTGGTGGTCACTCCCTTCAAGGTATTCTTTCCTCAAGAACAGGGTTAGAGTTAGATTAATTTAAACTTGTTTTTCAAGTAAATCCACATGGCCTTTTATAGCACGTCGAATGCTTTACTGAAGTTTAACACCCTGCCTCCCAATTCTACTTTTCACTCCTCTCCCACTAGCCCCCCCCCCCCCATATTTACTTACTTGGAAAACAGATTACATTTGTGTAATCATAGCCAAAGAGGCTCCCCTGAATAGACTCTCAAACACAAGACTGGATCTTCTTGGTGACCCTTTCTAAGCAAGAACCACTTTTACTCGGTATGGAGCTGAGTGCTATGGGTGCCCAGCAAGTAAAAGCTGTTCTGCTGATACAGAACACCTCTCCTGGGCTAATCCCATTCCCTATCCCCTGTAACTTTACTGCCTGGAGTTGGGATCAAGGGACTGTGGTGGCACCTGGTGGGATCACACCACAGGGTAAGTTACCTGCGGAGGAGATAGGCCAGTACCTGGGCCAGATCCACATCTTCATCCTCCTCTTCCTCTTCCTCACTCCGACGTGGGCCAGCCCCTCTTCCGGACAATCCCTCGGAGGGGTCTCCAGACCCGGATCCTGCGCTACTGCTGTTTCGAGATCCCATCTTCTGGTCACAGCATTCTTAGGTTCTGTGCAGGGGCTTCAGAACCCTCCTTGGGTTTGGTGAAAGCAAAGCCTGCTCTAGAAATACCAGGGTCTCCTGAGATTGGTCGGTAGCTATTTCTAGGAGGGTGACCCTTCCTAGGACTGAGATCCCTTCTCTCTAGACTCTGACAACTCCCAAGGCTTCGGGAACACAAGCCTTTCCCAATCCTGTGAAGCAAAGAAAAAAGAGTGAAGCCTAAGACCTTACTCTAGTTCACCAATCAGAGTCCTTTGAAGAGAAATTTCTCAGTTTTCTACCCCAAACTCACCTATCAAAGTCCCTGGAGGTCCCAGGTAACCTCTCTGGCCGGCCAATCAAAACCCCTTACGGAAGAAGGCTCCCCATCTAACCAATCAGGGATCTTAGGACTCAGAGAACCCCCCCCAACACGCCCCTTACTGGCCAATCAGAGCGCTCCTTTACGAGAGCCGGCAGCAGCTACAGCCAACGAGGTTAGAATTCGTCCCAACACCCCCTCCTTCCTTGCCTCACGCCCACGTGGTGTGCCGGGGGTGTGTACGCCAAGGGGGGGAGGAACCAAGAAGCACCTCCCACTGTAGCCGGCGGTTACGGCCCCGCAAGAGACCACCCACCGGTCAGGAGCGGTCGCCGGACCTGCTGCGGCGCGAGGCCTTGTTTACACCGACTGACACTGCCGCGCCTGCCAACTGCTGCTCCGTCACGCGCCTCCTTCGTCACGCGTCTCCCGGCTTCCCAGCAGGCGGGCTGCAGACGTCACGGCATGCTCCTGGCGGCCCCGCCCCCGTAGCCAGCTAACTGGACGGGGAGCACAGTGATTGATAGGTGGGCGGGAGAAAGCGCGTGAGGGGCCCGAGGGGAGGAGAAAGTGCGCGACCGACCAGGGGCGTTTGCTCCCTGTGGGAACTGGCAGCTTCCTGGATCAGATAAGCAAGACTTAAAGGCTGAGAGGCGGGACTTACAAAAGAAACGGTTGGTGGTTGGCTACCGAGAGGTTTTTTAGCAAGGCATACAATTTGCTGCCGATCCCTAAAGGTCATTTGGTTTCGCACTTTTCGGACAGTGCCCTAGGGCCCCAGCTCGAGCTGTTCTTTTGGCTGGCTGTAGCTCCAGGGGACCCTGCGTAAGGGGTGCCTGGAACTTTTGGGGTGTGTTCACGTCACAGGTGGGGATCCAGCTTCCACACACTCCTTCCGGATTTGGCTTCTGGAAGTCTTGTTCTTGTGGGGACGGCCCTTTTTAGGCTTCCCCTTACCTGCCGTGGCAACTTTTTAGACGGTCCCTGGCTTTTCTCCGCGGTCTTTGCAGACTCTCCCTAATACACCCAAGGGCCTCTAAGGCCTTTCCGGTTCCGTAGTCCCCTTAGACGCTGTCTTGGCCCTCGGGGATTTGCAGACCTTCCCTAGACCCTTAGTCCTCGCGGTGCTTCTCCGCCCCAGGCCGCGGGTCCAGGTTGTGCGTGCGCGCTGCCCCTTACCCCTTCCTGCGGGTTTATGAGTAACAGGGCTGAGTCCAAGGCCGGGACTTGCCACGTCTCGGGATCCTTGCCCAGGCTAGGGTGGGGAGGCCTGTGGGTCGAGTGACCTCGCGGTGCTGGGTGCAAAAGCTCCGGGTCCGAGCTGCACATCAGCGTCCCTAGAGCACACTCTGTTAAAAGTGCTGGGAGTTTCCCTTCGCCCGCCCCCCGAGGGAAGGAAGGGCAGCGAGGGTCCATAGTTCTCCTAGGCCCTCCTTCTGGGTCTCATTCTCTCAGGGAGGGCAGAGTGCGGTCAGTCCTGCGGGTGAAGTCTCCTGGTCACTAGATCGCTAGACCGGAGCCTATCACTGGGGTCGGCTTCATGGTCTCAGCGCTTAGAAGGCTCCTATGCTCGCTTTAATGTTCCGCTTGAGATCGTTTTCAGTCACCACCCCAAATCAAATTTTCATTACTCCATGCTTTTCCCGCTAGTTGATCTGCGGAAATCTCCTCTAACAGCATTTAGTTCTTAAGAACCCACAAGTGGTTCGCTATTGTTTATTCTTTCAAATACAAACTTCCAAACCTGGTTTTCTGTTTGTTTGTTTTTTTAGTAACCTCATTTTTTGATACTCCTGCCAGGCAAATATACCCGTAAATGCCTTACTTATTTCCATCTCTGCACCTTCCCAGGAGAATTTCTTATCTGAGGGAAGTCTTAATCTTCACCAGTCAAACCCCCTTCCTCACAGCCTTGCACTTTGACCCGGTGGTACCGATTCCAGGAATCTGTTCTGGACCTGCGTAAAGATTTACGTTCTGCATAGAAATGATTGATAATGCTGCAACCCCAGAAACAAAATAGATCCAAATATCATACAATACAGGATAGGTTAAACAAATTATGAGCCATATGGAAGAGACATAGAAATACCTGGTAGGCATTAAAATAGTCTTCTATTTTTTTTTTCCTTTTTGTCTTTTTTCGTCCGGCAACGGATCGCAACCCTCGTTGTTGCGCCTGCACCTGGCTCAGCCAGTGAGTGGCTGGTCTGTATGTGGGATCCGAACCCTCCGCGGGAGAGCCACTGCACTCCCAAGCGGCGCACTGTAGCAGTGCGCCACCGGGCTGGCCCATAGTCTTCTATTTTTACACTGTGGGAAATTGTGCAAGATACATTAAGTTTTAAAAAAGGTGGTAGTTCTTCTGGTGACATATCATGGTGTATGCAAAAAGAGTATGATTTCGATTTTGCATTAAAAAGTATAAAAATATCCAGACTAATTAAATCATTAAACAAGCCTGGCCCATTAGTTCAGTTGGCTAGAGCACCACCTTGTAACACCAGAGTCAAGGGGTTTGAGATCCCCATACCTGTCAGCCGCCAAAAAACCCCAAAAAACCAAAAAAAAATTAAATAAATCATAAAGTGGAGAAGGCATTGTGAGAGCCAATGACAAAGGTGTAGCATGAACAAAGGTTTACGATCAATTCAAGCAACTGAAGTCCAGAAAAAACAAAAAACAAAAAACCCTTCTGTCAAACTCATCTCCTTAATAATTCGTTTTTTGATTATTTCTTTACTCTTCTCCTTAGCACTTACAAATCTAGTTTAAACCTGAATAAAATCTTGTTAATTTAAGCTCTTGTAATATGGAACTTGTACATTATTGAATAAAAATTTTAAAGTCATGGTAAATGTTAAAAACAAAAACAAAAACTGAGGTTTTATGACAAAAATGAGTCCTCCTTAACATTAAATGAAATGCTAAAGAATATAGGATTCATCACTGGATCCATTGTTTAATTTTTGTATGTAAAAGATTTTTAAGCCTATGAACTTGATTATGTCATTTGTGACCTATAATATTTTTCAAAATGTATATAAGAATTTGTATTTTAGGGTACACTATATGTTTTATTGAAAGAAATAAAATGGCATTTAATTATAATTATATAATGGAACACTTCATTGGCCTTTCCTGTCTTGATTTTGAAATTTGGCATGTTGCTGGGTGGCAGTTTGTAAAGTGCCTTTCATTTGGGCAGCCTCTACTCACTCCAGCTACATTTAAAAGTCACTTAAAGCCACAGGAAGGTTTTCTACTTTCAGCACCCATTTTAAGACTATTTCTGGTCATTGCTAAGTAAATATTGACTAATTGACTTCCTGTCTGACCTGGCTTTAGCCTGGCTCCTTTTCTTAAGCATCTCCACTAGAGGGCGACTGGTCTGGAGAGGAGAGAAGGAAAACAAGATTTCCATGCTCTGGATAACCCTGTTTGGCTTCTCCCCTACCCTAGCCACCAGCGCCCAGCCTGGTAACTTCACATAGCTCCTGGGACACGTGTACATCTCTGGGCAACGTGAAGGGAAGTTCACTCTTCCAAAGTGACTGATGCCCATACAAATGTTTATACATTGTCTTCTTGTATCATTCTCTGTGTGCTAATTTGTCCAGGGGCTTAAAATGAAATGTGTTGACTAGAAAGCAATTGAGTATCTGATATTCTAATACTCTCATCTTGTGTCCTTAACCACATTTTTTGGAGTGGAAGATAGGAGCTACAGATGGGATATAGAGGAAATAAAAACCCTTTAGCCCTCATTTTGAATAGGAAGTATCAGTATGAACTCATGAGGCATTTTATCTTCCTCTCTATCGACTGAAAAGGTCTAGAAACAATGACCAATCCTGTAGCAATGAACACTCCTAGCACCCAGATTATGGTCTTAAAATACCATTTCCCACGGAAAGAAACCAGAGCTTCTTGGAGAAACGGCTGATTCCAAGTCTGGGGCAAGAAATGTATAAGATGAGTGTGGAGCAGCTTATCATAGCAGATAGGGAGGAAGCAAGCAGGAACTATCAAGGTCATGTCAAAAGGACTCAGGAGCCGAGCTCCCATGGCCAAAGGTGGGACAATTTGGGCATTAATAAGGATAATTTAATAAACATTAAGTGTGTTTAAATCTATGAGTCCATAATGGTGTGTGTGTGTATGTGTGTAAGTAACTGGTCACCTTTTTGAAGAATGACAGGAAACCAAATCATTATTTTGAAGATGGTAAATAAAGAAAAAGAATTAAAGGAAAAGAATTAAGCAGTTATCTTGCTGTTCTTTTTCTTTTTTTGTGGCTGTCTGGGGATCCAAACCCATAATCTTGGGGTTATAAGGCTGTGCTCTAACCAACTGAGCTAACTGGCCAGCCCAATCTTGCTGTTCTTACATAAACTACTTCTAGGGTAATAAATGAAATAGAAGATAAAGGGAAGAGTCCCTTTATAAAAGTATTCCAACTATTATGACAGAATTCGAATATGGTTGTTTTGCAATCCCTAGTGAATGTAGGTATTGAATATCTAGGCCTGGATTCTTCAGTGGCTAAATGGAAGGGAAAAAAAAAGGAGTGAAGGGGGAAACTGTAGATTGATAGAGACTTAAAAAACGCACGTATGAAATTTTTTAAAATGGACAAAGCTAAACTATAATGTCTAAGAATGCACATTTGGTTGATAAAACTACCAAAACAAAAGCATGGAAGTGATTACTATTCACCATAGTATCCACATCCACTTATGGCAGGAGGGAGGGGCTGTGGTAGAAGTGGAAATATGGGGTAGGGTGGCTTTTTGTGTCTGCAAAGAGCTATTTATTTCCCTGGGTGGTGGTTTCAACAGTGTTCACTTTATAATAGTTTATTAAGCTGTATCTTTGTTTTGCATGATTTTCAGCATCTGTATTTATTTTTAAATAGGTTAATTAAAACGTGTTAACTATATTTTAGCATTTATCTGGAGTTGAAGGGCATGCAGCACAGTGTTATTCTAATTGACAAAAATCATTTTTAAGGCTAATACCTTCCTGTCCCTGTGCATTTAGATACTAGAAGTATGCCTGGAATCCCGGTTC